CCCAGCATTAAATGCTCAGAGGGTAGATTTACAGCAGATTGGATGCTGTGACAACAGGAGAGGTGATCATCACTAGTTACCCAGCTCCAGCACTCACTGGAGCCATTAGAAGGCCTTCTCAGGAGCCCAGCACTGCCCCACCTGCGGGAACGTGGGACCCAGAACATATACCTCTCTGCTAAGTATTTAGTGTTCTGGATTCTGAATGTCTATAAGTATTTAATTCAGAAAATTGGAACAAACTATAATTGCTTTCTTGAGGGGGAAAACCAGATTCATTAATTTTTGACCTCCAATGTTTACTAGCTAACATATCTGGACCATGTGTTTAAAAGTTTTCAGATAAGCAAGGAGAAAAGGCTGGAATGATCCATATGGTGTTGCATTAGAGTTAGAGACATTGGTATGAACTCACGTCTAGCTTAATATAGTTACAGATGGTTATATAGAAATATTTATAGATGTGTGTACACATGGGTTAGTATACACATATATTTCCTTGTTCTGTCAGCTGGGAGTCTGAAAATTTACTTAGTAGATTTGTTGCTGGTAGTGGTATTGTGTAACTTAAAACTATTTTGTGTGCATTGTAGGGTATAATGATGTTGTTGGGGACCAGGTGTTCACTGTGGAAGTAAGAGAAAATATGGAGAGGAGAAAGATAAGAAAGTACCCTGTAATATTATCATTCCTATTTCTGCCCATTGAATGGGCCTAGAAGCAACCCAATAGCAATGAGCACACCTGTAGCCCAGATCTTGGTTTCTAAAAACCATGCTCTCTCTAAAAGGAACCAGATCTCCTTGAAAAAATGGTTAATTCAAGGTCTGGGGCAAGGAAAGTTAAAAGTAAGCCTATAATATCTTGTACTAGAAAATAAGAAAGTGCTCAAAGATTAATGAGATTAGTGAGGTCATAAGATCTATACTGGTCAAACCTGGGACAATTTGAGCATCAAATATTAATAATGCTTCAAAATTAATCCATGAATCCATAATGATGCCAAAAATAAAAGTGGAGGAAGGAAAGCTCTTCTTTACAGACAAATGCCAGGTACTCAGTGTAGTAGCGATAGTACTGGAAAAAAATCACTGTTTTATAACCATCAACATAATAACTGTTACAGGCAAGGATCATGAATGGATGCTAAAATAATTGAGTGAAAGTTTGTTGGAACATAAAAAATTCAGATAATATCCAAATATCAAATCACAGATATCTTCTTAATTACAATAAACACCATCTGGAGCATGTGATCAACCATAGCATCACCACAATTGGATAAACTGACGTTAGATGTCGTCTGACATGATGCAATAGAAAGTGTGAAATGTTACCTGTACATTATTCTTACTAAATGTTTTACCTGAATCTAATCATGAAAACCAATCAGACAAATGTAGACTATGGAGTGTTTCACAAAAGAGTGATCTGGACTCTTCAAAAACATCAATGTCATAAAAGACAAAAGAAAAAAAAAAAGACGTGGACAGGACTGTTCTAGATTAACGGAGACACAAAAGAAATGACAACAAAATGCAATTTATAATCCTTGATTGATCCTGAATTTTAAAAAACAGCTATAAAAGACAGTTTGGTAACAGTTGGAGAAAGTCGAATATGGACTTTTATGGAATATGAGATAATATTATATTGATGTCAAATTTTTTGGGTGTGATGATGGTTTTGTGGTTATGTAGGAGAATGTCCTTGTTCTTAGGAGATACTTACTTAAATACTTAAAAGTGAGTGTCATGATGTCTGCAACCCACTTTCAAGTGTTTCAGGAAATGTACATATATATATGGAGGGTGAGAGAGATAAAGAGAAACAAACATGACAAAAGTTAATCATTTATAATCTAGATTAAGGAAATATAGATATTGTGTTGTACGTCTAACCTTTCTATATGTTGAAATCATTATAAATTATAAGTTGGGATGAAAAAAGAGAGAGTGATCAACAAGTCAAAGGCAGCTAAGGGGTCCTATGAAAACAGAAGAGGGAGGAGAGAGAGATCCTCCAGTACCTAGGTGAGGGAAGAGCAACAACCTAGAAGGAGCCGGGGTCCTTGAATGACTGCATGGAGTCCAATGACTCAATGGAGCCTGGCTCCATTGCTGGCCTGCACTGAATTGGAATGTAAGTGAGAAACAAACTTTTATTTTCTTAGACTATTGAGATTTTAAAGTTGTTACAACATTTTAGCCTACCTGACTCATACATGTGTTATGTGAGTTGAAAGTTCATTATCATCACACTCTGATAATCTGATTTGTACATCTTCCCAGGAGAGATTTACAGCTGAGTTGTCCTAACTATGCTTCTGTTGGTTGCTGGGCACCCACCCTTCTCATGAGGGCCTAGCTGGGCCAGGGCAATATTTGCCGTTTAGATTCTTTTTTTCTCTGCTTCCTGGGTTGGTACTCTAATCAACAGCCTTTTGTTTAGATAAATCAGTACCTCTAGGAAGACAGTGAGGTCTTATTCATTAGAAAGGATTCTTTCTTTTTAAGCAGAAGTTGCCCCCCAAAATGACAAACTAGGGGGGAAATCAACAACTCTGAAACACATATAATAAAGAGCAACTTTTTAAACTTACAGAACTCTCATAAATCAACAAGAAAAATATAGACAAGACAATCTCTTGCATCAAAAGGGAAAAGAAAAGCAAATAGCAAATAGATTAACAGACCTCCACTCCTGGAGATAGGCAAAATGGGTGAAGGGGTTCAAAAGGTACAAACTCCCAATGATAAAATCAATAACTCCCGGGGCTGTAATGTTCAGCCTGATGACTATGGTTAATACTGTATTGCATATGTGAAATTTGCTAAGAAAGTAGATCTTCAAAGGTTTCATTCCAAGACAAAAACTTTTTTCTAACTATGGTGACAGATGTTTACTAGGCTTATTGTGGTAATCATTTCGTATTAGACACAAATATTGAATCATTATATTGCACACCTGGAACTAATAGAATGCTAAATGTCAATTATAGCTTAACAAATAAAATACTTAAAAAAGAATCTATGTATAGCATTAGTCTTATTTTCTATAGACACTGGGAAAATTCTTTTTGTATTACTACTTAATGACAACATTGTTAGTTTTTACTTATTTAAAATAGTGAAAGTTAGTTTATCTGGCAAACCAATAACGTGAAATCTCTTTACACTGTTAGTTCCACGCTCACTATGGTGAGCTTCTGGAGCAGCCCTTGCATTTCTGAATCCCTATGACTTAGCAGTGTGCTCCTTGCAAAAAATACCGACAGTGACCCTTGAAGGTCATAAAGATGGACTGGAAAACTGAAGTACTTTCTGAACCTTAAAAAATTCTGTACAGAGTGATTTCAATGTAATTCAGAATTCGAATTCTTTGAAAATCAGTAATCGGTATCTGGTATATAAGATAACTTATTCTCTATTAAATTGTGTAATGCTCAATTACTTGAACAGAGAAATTATATCACCAACTTGCTAAACATGGAGTTGCATCAGTTAAGAAACTAAACCGTCAAGTGTGTGTGCATTAGCTTTTCTGCCTGAAAGTAAATGATAAGGCAAATCATCTATGTCGGTATCTTAAATTTTTCAGCAGAAGTGAGGACCTATATTATTAAAAATTCTAACTCTTGGGGCTGGCCTGGTGGCATAGTGGTTAAGTTTGAGCACTCCGCTTTGGTGGCCCAGAGCTTGCCAGTTCGGATCCTGGGTGTGGACCTACACATCGCTCATCAAGCCACGCTGTGGCAGCGTCCCATATACAGAATAGAGAAAGATTGGCACAGATGTTAGCTCAGGGCCAATCTTCCTCACCAAAAAATAAATAAATGGTAAATCTTTCCATGGGAAGACCGTTTTGTTATGTGTTTGGTAGTAAGAGTAGCAGCAAGGACTGAGTCAAGGCAAGATCCATTCATGTTTGGATTCCAGTCATCCTGTCTTCAGTTGGTAGCAGTTAGGAAATGCTAAAACGGAGTCATCACCATTGTATCCCTACCAGCTAGCCTGGGGGATGCTTAATAAATATTTGTTAAATGAAAAAAGAAAAAGGTTAGTGCTATCAGTAGAAGCCTTTAATTCTCTTGTGTTTTAATCTCCCCACACTATCCTACTTTACTTCCCTGCATAGTGATGCTATGAATATCAATAACGTCGTGTGTGTTACACCTCACGGGCTTTTAAACTGCATTTTGAGGCGTGTCAATATTTTTAAACATTGTTAGAGTTCCGTGGCTTATGACAAAGGGTTGGTCACCGTAAATGTAGTTAGCACAGCAGCGTCTGCTAGCCAGCGATTGCGGAAGCGAGGATTCTATCCTCCCTCAGAGACTGGGAGCCCAGCTCCATCCTTTTGGATGATTCCATTTCAAAGGAACGGCTCTCAGGTCCTTGAGAAAGCCATTTCTGACTTGTAGGAGACACATACATATCTCAAAGGGACAAAGGAAAGATTCACAGTCGTAAGTCGTTTTTAGTAAAAATTCTAAGAAATGGAGGTCAGTGGCCTAGCCTCAGACGTTGGCGGGAACCACGGACTCTCACGGCAGCTGCGAGCTTTCCCAGGCAGGCATATTAACGGGAGGGGGAGGGGAGGTGGGCTCGGTCTTGGGACTGGCCTGCTGCTGCAAGAAGCCACGTGAGAGGGCGCTCAGGGCGCAGCAGTCTCCGCGGAGTGGATTATGGGCTGAAAGGTCTGCAGCTCTCAGAGCGATCTGTCAGCAAAAGTAGTTCCCAAACATGATCAAATGTTCCATTCTGCAAGCCGCAATCCACCGTCACTGTTCGCTATGCTCCAATCAAGCACCCAAGTGGGCAGTAGGCGAAGAGCAGGGGGCAGCAGAGGGAGCGGGGTGGAGTGGGGTGGGTGACGGGCCACGTGGCATGGGTGACTGTCGCGCCGCAGGGAACCGGGAACACGGAGAAGCAAAGCGAAAGTGACCACCCCAGAGAAAGTGGGCGGGTGGCCCTTTAGCTTTTGGGCCCCGGCCGCTCTCTGCCTCACCTCCCCCATCACTGCCTAGTCTCTGCCCCCGCGTTTACGCCTAACCCGTGCGGCCACCGCGGCGAGGCCAGGGGGCCAGGGCCGGGGGCTGAGCCAGCTCAGGCTCCTCCCGCCCGCCCGAGCCGCGAGCGCCGCCGCGCCCCGCCCTGCCCGGGTCGCCTGTGCTCAGTCCCGCGCTCGCTCGGTCATGGGCGCCGCCGGCTCCTCGGCTCTGGCCCGCCTCGGCCTCCCCGCGCCGCCCCGGTCCCGCTGGCTGGGGGTGGCCGCGCTGGGACTGGCCGCCGTGGCGCTGGGGGCCGTGGCCTGGCGCCGCGCGAGGCCCCGGCGGCGCGGGCGGCTGCAGCAGGTGGGCACCGTGGCGCAGCTCTGGATCTACCCGGTCAAGTCCTGCAGGGGGGTGCCGGTGAGCGCGGCCGAGTGCACGGCCATGGGGCTGCGCAGCGGCCACCTGCGGGACAGGTACATCCGGGCTGGGAGAGCTGGGGGAGGTGGGGCCTGCCCCCGAGAAAATAGGTTTGCCACGTGGGTTTCTTGGGCTGCTTGTTGGACCCTCTGCCTTTGATTCTTTAGCCAAGAACGTCAAGTTCATGTCTGATTCCGATTTGGAAAAGTAGATAGAGGTAAACTCTTGTCCCTCTGTGGATGAGAGGTTCTTCCTATGAAAGGACAGGACCTGACTTGCTTATCTCCAAGGCTCCTGCAAGTTCTAAACTTTCTGGTTCTGTCTTAGCATATGGCCCCGGAGTGGGAAAATAAAATGCTATTGGCACTAGTGGGCATACGGGAGCCATGCTGAAACCAAGTCTTGTTGGAGGAGACTGGCTTTGGTCTTGCTGGGGCTTGTTTCCTGCAGGTCTCCAGTCCTGGCGAAGGTGCCTGGAAGACCCAGCAGGTGGGGAGACCTGAGCCACTCTAATGAGTAATGAGCAGAGTGAAGTCTTATGTTGGGGAGAGAGGGTGTCCGGGGAATTGCAAGTGTAATACTTGCTGTTAAGAGAATAATGTGTCCCCTACCCCAGAGGCAGAGTGGTCCTCAGTGAAGAACTATGTGGGTCCCTCCCCACACAGGGCCTGGCACATAGAAATTTCATTCCCTTCCCTTGGAAAAGAAAAGGTTCTCTGTCATTTAAGTCACCCCAAAGGTGAGGTCACACACACATACTCCTTGACACAGAATTATGCAGCTGGATATTGAGAAGGTTTTCTTAACAGTGAAGGATGCTGGAAAGAGTGATTAAGGAAGAATGGAATCTCCTTCTTTGCTTCCTTAGGATTAAGATGCCTTCCTGTCTGCTTGGGATGGTTTGGCTGTGGTCCTGTGGCTAGTGGGGAGGGGGGTTTCCAAGTAGTTCGTTCAAGGAACCTGCTAGCAGAGGCTGCTGCCCTGAGTTCCCTCTGGGACGCATGTCTTCACTCTTCTCTGAAGACTGCTGTCCTCTTAAAGAAATGCGAGCTTCCAAGGCATTGGAAGACTTCAACTTGCTTTAGAGAAGTGTTGGGTATGCAGACTGTGTAACTCATGGGGGATTTTCCATCCCCCTCCACCCCAGATTTCTCATTCTAGAGCTTTTTAAAACTGTAATTTCCTGAGATTCCCATCCCAGATCTGCAGAATGGAAATCACCAAGAGTGAAGCCAACTGGTGTAAAGTGTTTAAATGTCCCCACATGGGGCCGGTCCCGTGGCCGAGTGGTTAAGTTCACGTGCTCCGCTTTGGAGGCCCGGGGTTTCGCCGGTTCGAATCCTGGGCCCGGACATGGCACCACTCATCAGGCCATGCTGAGGCGGTGTCCCACATGCTACAACTAGAAGGACCCACAATTGAAAATATACAACTCTGTACTGGGGGGCTTTGGGGAGAAAAAGGAAAAGTAAAATGTAAAATAAATGTCTCCCCATGTGATTCTGATGCTATAATTAAAGGGTTTTATCTGGACCATTAGAGGAGCATGTTTACAGTTTATTCAAATATGAAGGATTAGAAAAGCTTTCTGGGGGCCGGCCCCATGGCCAAGTGGTTAAGTTCACCAGCTCCGCTGCAGGTGGCCCAGTGTTTCGTTGGTTCGAATCCTGGGCTTGGACGTGGCACCGCTCATTGAGCCACGCTGAGGTGGTGTCCCACATGCCACGACTAGAAGGACCCGCAACTTAAAATATACAACTGTGTACCAGGGGGCTTTGGGGAGAAAAAAAGGAAAAAAATAAAATCTTAAAAAAAAAGAAGAAAAGCTTTCTGATTGCTGGGAAGACTTCGGGCGCAGTGGTCCTGGACGCCCTCCGAAAACTGAGAGAGGCAAATTCTGATGATGCACGTCCAGAGCAATGGCCTTGTGCTCCTTTCTTCCCCGCCTGAAGGATTGGGGTGGTCTCACAGTGAGATTTCCAATTCTTATCAGTATTTCATCTGATCATCTGAATGACTGTTGCTTTCCCACTTCTCATTGTCACTCCTTTGCTGTGACTGTTGCTTCCATGGAAAGAAAATATTCGTCCTTTGCTTTTCTGCTTCCGTGGGCATCCTAAAATAAAAGGAGCTGTTAACTTTACCTTGTTTTGAAGAATACATGCTTGGGATGGGGTGGAGGGAAGGCATGGAACAAACATTTCTTCAGTGCTTCGTATGCAGCAGACACTGAGCTAAATCCTGGGATGCAGAGGATCTTATTTAAGCCTCGTTAACAGTCTTGTGGGCTGGATATTATCTCCACTTTGAAAATAAGGAAACAGTATCAGAAAGGATGTGTCACACCCAAGATCACAAAACCATTGGATGCTGGCGAGATTTGAGCTCAGATCTCTGTGAGTGTGACACTCGCGCTCTTTCTGTGAAACCAGTGTGTGATTTGGAAGGGCAGGATTGCACCGAGAACTTGGGCAAAGTCCTTTAACCTCTTGGCACATCAGTCTTTTTCATTTGTGAAAGAAAGAGGTTGACCTTGCTGATCTCTAAGACCCTATCTAATCTAGATTGTATTTATTAAAGGATGATTGAAACTGAAAGAAAGCTGGAAAGAGCCCTGCTGAAGGACGCTATTGTTCTCTCAACCTGAAACTTCAATTACAAAACTACAGATAGTCTGAATGTAGGAAAGAACTCCTTTATTTAAATTCTATTTGAACCTGTGTCTTTGGGTCTGTTCTAAGAGGCTGGGATCTTCCTCTATTCGTGCTCTGTGCCTCAAATCTTTAGAGCTGTTTTCTTCAAAGTTCTTAACATATTTTTGAAATCCTTGGCTTGAGCACCCTGAGCTGTGAGCATGTTTAAAGTCCGCCCAGCGGAACGCTGGCATTGGCATTGGCTGTCTGCATTGGCGTGGCTGCCCTCCTTGACCTTGTAAATATCCGTTCCTCTTAGCAGCCCTATATGACCCGACCATATAAATGTGTGCAGACGCCTTCTGAAGCCAGCCCCGTATGCCTTCTGCACAGACTGTTGTCTCTTGGAGAAATGGAGTCCCTAAGTTGACTGTCCTGAGTGTCATTACTTCCCGGATTCCTCCTGCCTTTACCCTCCCCCTTTCTGTAGTGGGGTCCCTGCTTTGCCCCTTTTTGGGCTCAGTCATTCCTTTTTCCCCAGGCCAGTTTGTAAGTTTAGAAATGAGATTTTCCAGCCATCTTGGGCTGGTGCTTCCCACCGCTGCTGGTCGCTCAGAGCGCTGTTGTCTTTCCGACAATCTGAGCGCTGGGTTCCTGCATGATGCCCACACCACACACTCCTGTTTTATGTGTAAAATGAAGGTGCTGGCTTTTAGTTTTGCAGACTCGGTTGGAATAACTTGATCATGAAGAAATCTGTACTCCAGACTTGTTTGTTCTTTCTTTCCGATCTGGCGGAACAGAGCTCATTATTCATTTGCTGGGCATTGTTTGTGTGTAAGAGGTGAAAAATGTGATTACCCAGGTTGATGGGGTAATGAGGGTGGTTGGGCCATGTTGCAGAGAGCAGTATTGGCTCTTCTTGTTTCTGTCCTGTCCCGGTGTAAGAATGCTTGCAAGTCGCCACTGGCATCTTCAGGTGGAGGAGTTGGCACAAAACCTCTGGCTGTTGCTTCTAGCTGTTACAGTCCTGGGGTTAACTCCCACGTGATTATGCAACAGACTGGCGCTAAGGGCAGGGGTTGAGAGCCAGAGCGAAGGGCTAAAGTTGAGGGATGGATGTGAGAGCAGACCCAGGGCAGGGTGGGCTGACTGTCAGAAGCAATGTGCAAGCAGGGCGGGACTCCTGTTTGGACGTGTGTCTGGGTGTGCGCAGATCTCAGAGGAAGTCTTGTCTCAGGACGGGCTGTGCTGGGAGTTCAGGGTGCAAGCTTGCGGGGGTTAACCAGAACAGGGTCTTCCAGAACTCTGCACCTCGGAATGAGGCTGGAAATAGGGAACAGGGCCTAGCCCCGAGGGAACAGGGCTGTAACAAAGTAGGTAGGATTTCCCTGGGTTCCAGAACCCACCCTCACCCCTCAGGTGAGGGGTCAGAGAACTCTGGGAACCAAAGACACCTAGAAGGGAAAAGATGAAGTCTTCAGAGGGGTGGGGGCCTGGTACTGCCCAGCATCACAAGCTCCAGGGAGGAAGTAGCCAGGACAATTTCTAAAATGTCCTTACATGTCACCACCACCCCTGCTATATGCCCTCACACCTACATGCATGCCAGTGAGCGCACAGATGCCAGCCATTGTCTGCTGGCTTGGTTGCACGAAAGGGATGGTTCATCCAGCACCTGGATAAGGATAGGTTGCCTAACTGGGAGGTTCCAAAAGTAGGACTAACCTCAGGGTCAGGACAGGGCAGACACTGAGCTCCCTGCACTCTGATATTAGATGTCCTCATCAGGTCACTTCAGATATTCCCATTTGGCTCCAGTCATATTTTGAAATGTCTCCCTCGGAGGAGCTGCCCCTCATTCTGGAAGGGGCTGTCCTTTTTTATCCTGGTCACATGTGCAAAGCCCCAGTTTTCACTTGCCGCTCACTCGCCAGTGCTCTCAGCATTCTCCACTCACTGCACTTGTCTGCCGGTTCTGTTTTCATGAACTAGTGATGTCGAAACTTATTTTCCCTAAAGCTGCTACTCTTCCTTTTTTTTTTTTTTCCCAGTCAAATCGTTCGGGTGCTGTAACTTAAAATGTATGCTCTGCTGTGTGTAAAAGCATAACCAGCTAGTCAGATCAGCCTCCCTTCCCATTCTCCACTCACCCCATTCTCCCTCTGAGACCCCGAGTGTGAGCACTGAGCCTGGATCAGTGGGCTCTCCAGGAGGTAGTGGCGTTCTTATCTAAGACACAATTTGCTTGACTCTCTGTTCTCTGAGTTAGAATGTGTGCTTGAAAGGCTGGTTAGGGTTTCCTGGTGAGGATCCACATGCCACAGCAAGTTAAACCAAGTAGAGGCTGGTTTAGGTCCTCTTGGAGTGACAAATATTAGAAGATCTTTGTCTAGGCTTTCAGTTCCCTTAAAGCAGTATTTTTGGTCAACGTCGTCTTGTTCCACGGCAAAAAGACCTGGAAGGCATTTCGCTTCCACCAGGGGCTTAGAGATGTATTAACAGGCCCCGGGGAGGTTTCTGACCAAAGCAGAATCCCAAAGGAGGCAACATAGTTACCTAAACTGTAAGGGAAGCTCCCTCAACTGGCCTCATTTTCTGGAATTTCAGAGTTGGCAATTTTCATCTGCTGGCCAGACGCTCTCTCCCACAACTCTTTCTTGCCAGACAAGCTCCTTTTGGGGACCCCAACGTTTAGACCCAAAGAATCTGGCCAGCTTGGGATAATTGTCCAGAAAAAATTGTTGGGTCTCGAGTCGAGGCAGGGGGAGGATTTTGATGAAATAGTTCCTGAGACAGTGGAAGAGGATTCTCTTAGCATGCCCCTGTTTGTTTCTTGGCAGGTTTTGGTTGGTGATTAAGGAAGATGGACACATGGTCACTGCCCGGCAGGAGCCCCGCCTCATGCTGGTCTCCATCACCTATGAGGACGATCGCCTGATCCTCAGGGCTCCGGACATGGACCAGCTGGTTTTGCCGAGCAAGCAACCTTCCTCAAACACTCTCCATGACTGCAGGTGCTCTGCCTGGGGGCCTCCAGGGACCTGCGCCAGACCTGATTTTCCTTTGGGCTCCTCCCTGCACTCTGTCTAACTGCAGTTTGTACATAGGTGATGAGATTGGTGAAGGAAGTGTTCAAGAGAAGTCTAGTCTGGGTTGGGCTGGAGCTGGTGGTCAGGTGAGTGGGTGAAGCAGAATATTGCTTTAAGGAGGCTGAGGGTTTGTTTTAATCAGATATGGTAAGACATGCAGACACAGAAGTGACTGTCATGAAGAAATACTTTTTTATATTCACAAATCTCTAGAAACCGAGGCCCATGCCATGCAGGGCCATGTCGGGAAGTACCAGGGTTGGTTAGGAGGCAGAGGGAGCGGAGAAAAACATGAACAAGAGCCTTTATTGTGGTTTCTGCAGGAAGGACTGGGTGAAGAAGGATGAGCAGGCTTAGGATTGGCTGGTTTGAATAATTTCAGTGAGCTCTGGATTTAGGGGCTGTCCCTGGTTGTCTGGTACTTGGCCTTGGGTGATTAGGGCTGGTGAATAGTGGTCCAGAGTGGAAGAGCCCAACACAGGAGGTGGTTGGGGGTGGGGCCTCTGGATTGGTTGCCAGCATATGAAAGGCTCATCACAGGTGAGCGATTTCTCTCTAGAAATCGACTAGTCCTGGGAAAGGCACTTCCTTCAGCATCAGCAAAGCCCCAAGACGTCAAAGCATTAAAAACTAATAAGAAGAAAAAAGCATGATTAATACAAATATAGAGGGGGTACAAAGGGCCAATCTTTAGGGTTTGTCTCCTTTAGTTCAAGTCGGATGGGCTTCTATTCCGATTGCCAGCCCTCCAGCCAGGCAGACAGGGGAGTTGGTGGAGACGTCACCAGCTGTGTCTCAGGATCGGGTGATAAAGATGCTGGAGCTCTTCAAGGTGACTCTGCAGCCTCTCAGGTCTGGGATTGAGGCTGAGGCATCTCTGGCAGGAGTCAGAAGTAAGAAATTTCCACCTCTGGGCAGAGATGCGCCTCAGGCCTGGACTTCATTTCAGTCTGTGGGACCCCTGCAGGGCTGTCAGGTTCCAGGGCTCACCGGGGTCTTATCCTATGCTATCAGGAAGTCCTAGAGGCAGAGACATTTGTCATGAGTGCTCTGGATCCCTTTGTAAACCCCTGAGCATTTTCAGCATGTGGAAATTGGGGTTGTCCAAAGGTCCGAAGGCTCAGAGAGCCACAGATTGCTCCCGTGCCCTGATCATATGCTTTTACAGGCAAAGTGTCCGAGCTGAAATCCATCACTCAAGGTTCCGAAATTTCAAAAGCTCAAAGCAATAATTCACTGAATACAGTATTTCAGTTACTTATCTCAGCAAGCGTATGAGGTGGATGCTGTTAATTCCGCGTTACAAATGAGGAAACCAAGACTGAGATCACTGGAACAGCAGGCAGAGCTAGAATTTGAACCCAGCTGCCTCCTTGGCCTTTGCTCTTAATGCCTGCACACGGGGAGGGGAAAAGCTTTTCCACACATCACAGGTTTTGAGCAAAGAAATTCACTGAAAAGAAAAACTGTAGGTCTTGATTAGAGGACATTCACAGCTTGTGGGTAAATGCTTAGCTGACATGTGATGAGTGACAGATATGGATGTGGCCTGGTAGACTCACTTTGCCATTGACACTAATCAAGGTTTTCCCCCAAGGTTCTTTGCCTTCCTAAACAGGCAGACTCTGGGGGGATACAAACCCTCCTGGACGGAGAGAGGAGGATCATGTAGGGGCTTGATCCAGGCCTGACAAAGGCTCCAAGTGCAGCTCGTTCTTGTATAATTCTGTTCTACACATCAGTTGTGTTTCTGGCTGAGGGGGGAATGGAGAATCTTGGGAGTTTGGAGTGACTCCCAGCCACTGGGAGCTGTGTGTTTGGATTGACACAGAGAGGGAGAGAACATAATCAGCATTCTACCCTCTCCAGCTGGTTAGACGTGCTGTAACTAGTGTGGCCTGTATTTATAAGCTATTTTTAAGGGATTGGTTGCCATGGGAACTGCTAAAAAATTGAAGAAATGATACAAAGTAGATGGTAAGTGACAAACAGTGATTATCATAGCCAGCTCACCAGAACCTAAAATAAAATAAAATAAACCAACAACCTCAAGTTGGAAAAAAAGTAAAGGAAATCCCTTAACACAGCCATATGGACAAGGATGCAATGTCACAGAGCTTATTTTAATTTTTTGACTTTTATTGTTAGTTTCTTGAATCAGCCGTCCCTGTTTGCCCTGTGTGGGGTTAAATTGTTTGAGACCAATTATAGACCCGAATGTCTTCTTAATTTTCTGAAAGATTTATGAGTAATTATGGTCTAAAAAGTCCAAGTTTATGTTTTAAAGTGAGAGAAAGTAAGAAATGACTTTAAACTCAGACAGTCCAACAGAAATTTTATTTCTTTATAACTGAAATAATAGTTCCTTTGGAAAAAGAAGAAATTTCTCTAGCTGGGTTTCATTCAGTTACAAACTATATTGACTATTGATAGTATTATATACTTAAATACTTGATACGTCACAAAAGAATACACATAAAGTATATGTAAGGTATAAAACAGTGTAATGAAACAAACACCTGTGTACAATTTAAGAAATACAACATGAGCAAGAAATATTTCAGATACCTTCCTGATATTCCACCCCTCAGAGGTAACCAGTATCCTGAATTTCTTTTTTTTCCCTCATTCTTCTGCTACTGTAAATAGTATTTCTGAATATGTATGTGCTCCTAAATAATACACGGTTAAATTTTGCTTAGTTTTAAAGCTTATCAAAATGTTACTGTGTTGTATGTGTTCTTCTGCAAGTTCCTGTTTTACTCAACGTTGTGTTTCTAAGATTCATCCATTTGCTTCTTGTAGCTGGTAGCTGTAATTCATTTTTTTTCACTGCTGGGTAGTTTCCACCGTATAAATGTGCTCCAGTTTACTTATTGGTTCTTTTGTCCATGCTCATATAAATGTTTGCAGTCTTTTTCCTAATATGAACGATGTTCTCTGAACATTCTTGGACATGTCTTTAATTCTTTAAGAAATTAATTTAGGAGTCGAATTGCTGAATCATTGGGTATGTTCACATTAGTTTTTGTAAGAAAATGTCACATTGTTTCCTAAAACTAGTGTAGCAATTTGCACTTCATCGGAGAAAGGGTCCATTGTCTCGTGTCCTTATCAGCTGGGTTGTTTGTTACTAGTCCTCATTATCTAGATTTTCTTACACTTTAAATTCTGTAAATATCTTTAAAATGAGTCACATGGTATCTCTTTGTAGTTTTAATTTGTATTTCTCAGATTTCTAATGAGGTTGAATATTTTTTTTCTTTATGATCATTGGTACCTTATGTTTTCTGGTCTCTGAAATTAATTTTCGTATTTTATGCCCAAGTTTTCCCTTATTGACAGGTAGTTATTCTTTCATCGACTCTATACAAATCTTTGGTCAATTATGAGATGCAAATATCCTGCTTTGTCGCTCATTTATTTTTTCTTGTGGTCTCTTCTGATAAATAGACAGTCTTAATTTTATTATATTCAAATTAATTGCTTTTTGGATTAGCACTTTCTTTGTGAATTAAAAAATATACTCCACTCCAAGTTATAAAGATATTCTCCAACTATTTGTTTTTTATGCCTTACATTTATTCTTTTTTTTTTTTAAAGATTGGCACCTGAGCGAACAACTGTTGCCAATCTTCTTTTTTTTTTCTTCTCCCCAAAGTCCCCCAGTACATAGTTGTATATTCTAGTTGTGAGTGCCTCTGGTTGTGCTGTGTGGGACTCCATCTCAGCATGGCCTGATGAGTGGTGCCATGTCCGGACGTTCCCGGGATCCGAACTGGCAAAACCCCGGGCCGCCGAAGTGGAGTGTGCTCACTTAACCACTGGGCCATGGGGCCAGCCCCATCCTACTATTTTTTTAAGCTATTGAAACTTGTTTTTTTCATTTATGTCTTCATTGCCTCTAGAGTTTATTTTTGTATGTGGTTTGAGGTTGCAATCCAATATGATTTTTTTATGTAGTTATCAGTTGTTCAGCACTTTATTGAATAATCCGTATGTTTCCCACTGACCTATAATGCCACCTCCACTGTTTATTAAGATCCTTAAGAGATGTCAACCTTTTTCTGAGCTCTCACTCAGTTGCACTGGTTTATTTATCAATTCCTGATCCTATACTACACCACCTTAATTATTTTAACTTTGTACTTGATATCTAGTAAGAAAAGCATCCTCGTTATTTTATTCGTCTTTGAAAGTGTTTTGACTATTCTTGGACTTCATTCTTCCATAAATTTTAGAATCAGCTTGTCAATCCATGTAAAATCCTTTTGGGATTTTGATTGGAATTGCGTTGAACTTGTGGCTCAATTTAGAGAAAATTGAAATGGTTTTATATATATATAAAACATTTGGAAGAGTGCCTGGTTCATAGCAGGCACTTAAATAACTGTTAGCTCTTAAATTGCTAGTATCATCTGTATTGTATAGAGCTTCCCTCTCCATGAATGTGTTATCTTCCCCTATTTATTTATGTTGTATTTTACTTCTTTAATAAAGTTTTATAATTTTCTTTATAATGGAAATGTACGTCTTTTGTTAGATTTAGTCCTAGATATTGTTTTTTTCCTACTTTAAATGGCAGTTAAAAAAATTTTTTTTCTTTATAAGATTGGTAGTTTTTATCTTTTGATTATTAGTAGAACTTTCCAGTAAAATTGTCTGGATTTTCTTTATAAAAATCCATTCAAGTTTTTATGTCTTCTTCAGTATTTTTTAGCAGGTTATTTGCTTTAGGAATTAGTAGATTACTAACTGATGAAGTTCTATTGTATTCACACAAGGAGGGTCAGTTCTTTTCTATGGAATGTTGATGATGGAACATTTTGTGTCAAAGTGTGGAAGAGGGGCCAGCCCCGTGCCTGAGTGGTTAAGTTTGTGCACTCCGCTTCGGTGGCCCAGGCTTTTGGTCGCCCAGGGTTTTGCCGGTTCGCATTCAGGGTGTGAACATGACACCGCTCATCAAGCCATGCTGAGGCATCGTCTCACATGCCACAACTAGAAGGACCCACAGCTAAAATATACAACTCTGTACTGGAGGGATTTGGGGAGTAAAAGCAGGAAAAAAAAAAAAAAAGATTGGCAACAGTTGTTAGCTCAGGTGCCAATCAAAAAAAAAATGTGGAAGAAAGTGGACTTTTTATAAAATTCTGAAAGAATCAAAGAAGGTGGGATGACAGAGGGGTGGATGTGGTCTGCTGCGAGGGCGGCAGGGAGTGAGGACGGTGAAGGGATAACTATCAGGAGTGGGGATGGGCACTGGCTAATGACGTTCCCCCATCCCACTGAGTGCTCCCTGCTTTTCAGAGCACCAACACGAGCTCACCTGAGTGGGTGGAAGCTGAGGGTAGAGGTGTGTGCACTTAGCTGTGAGTGCTGTTGTGCAGGGGTTGAGGGAAGTGCTCAACCCGGGGGCAGATGCTTGAGAACCTGCTGAACAGCGGGATCAGATCTGTTTGAAGGAGTAGACCGGTTGGTTGAGGAAAGTTTTAGGGGAAAGGCTGAAGGTGGTGAGAAAGAGGACCATGAGAAGGCTTGGAGACCAAGCCAAGAATTAATCAGAGCCCAAACAGTGGCTCCAGGAAGGAGATTTGGAGAGAAGGAAGAGGTCCAAGAAATGTTAGAAGAACAGCATTGAGATTTGACAGTAGATAGGATAGGCGTGTCTAACAGACATTGAAGACCACTGTGTTACCTAATGGAATCTGTGTCCACCACGTGGAGTAGGTACTATGTTATTACCTCCAATTTATGACTGGAGACAGAAGGTCAGAGGAGTTAAATGATTTGCTAAAGGCTGGAGACTGGCAGAGGGCCAGTTTGAACCAGATCTGCCAGACTCCAGGCTCACGGTGCAGCTACCACCCTGCAGTCCTTCTCCCCTTCCGAAACTATCCTAAATCCTTGCTGCTCAAAGTGTGGTCCATGGACCAGCAGCATAGGCTTCCTGAAGCCTGTTAGGAATGCAGAATCTCAGGCCTACGGAACTAGAATCTCCATTTTAGCAAGATCCAGGCGAGTCACAAGCATTTTAGAGTTTGACAAGCTCTTCCCTGGAGCACATTCTGCTTCCTCCCACTCCGCTTCTCTCCAGCTTTGGCCAAAGACCACTTACTGGCCGTCTGGGATAGTCAGGTGCCAACAGTGCCGTGTTCTGTCTTGATGCCATCTCTCAATATGTCGATGCAAGAAAGTAACCGTGGTTCTCTCTTGGGACCCTTCCAGGCTATTTGGTCTTGACATCAAGGGCAGAGACTGTGGCGATGAGGCAGCGCAGTGGTTCACCAACTTCTTGAAAACAGAAGCTTTCAGGCTGGTTCAGTTTGAAAAGAACATGAAGGGAAGATCATCAAGGGACATTTTCCCTCCTTTTGTACAGAATTACCAGGTGAGTTTACAGAGAGCTGCCTTCGCTTCTATCAGTCACAGCTCTCTTTCTGGCTTCCTTCTTGGCCCACAGAGGGCCGCTCTAGGGACCCAGTTAGGAAAGTGTAGTGATGGCCCCGGTGAGTGGTACTGAGGGCGTGACCTGGGCAGCTATTGGGGATGGAGAGGGAAGAGGATATGAGAGTCTAGTGGGCTCTCCAGGACGCGTGGAGGATAGACTATGAGACATACATTGGGTCCCCCTTATCCATGGGGAACACATTCCAAGACCCCAAGTGGATGTCTGAAATCGTGGATAGTACTGAACCCAATATGTATCTGTTTTTCCTGTATTAAGCACTTATCAGCACTGTGGCTGTAACTTTTGCAGTTTGAGGTGCAACAGCAAAACTAGCATGAGTTTCTTTTTCCTTCTTCACAATTTCACAGACAGAAGATTCATTCCGACTGTACGTCTTAGCAACCTCAGCATACGATTTTTTTTTTCTTTCCTTATTAAGTCAAGAACTTTCACCTTTTCCCTTAAAGGAAGCACTTTCTGGCTTCTCTTTGGCATATCTGAATTGCTAGCATCACTCCTCTTGTGCTTTGGGGCCGTAAATAAGTAAAATAAAGGGTTATCTGAGCACAAGCAAAGCGATACTGTGACAGTCAGTCTGATAACTTAGACGGCTACTAAGTGACTAATGGACCAGATACAGCATGGATCTGCTGGACAAAGGGATGACTTACATCCTGGGCGGGACAGAGGGGGACAGCTCGAGATTTCATCACGCTGCTCAGAACGGTGCACAATTTAAAACTTATGTATCATTTCTGGCATTTTCCATTTAATATTTTTGGACTGCGGTTGACCAGAGGTAATCGAAACCACAGAAAGCGAAACCTTGGATCAGGAGGAACTACTGTTGTGGAGAGGGAGAAGCCAGGGGTGACTCCCAGGGGAAAGCGGGTCAGGGAGGTGAAAGAGAGAGGTTGGTTTGGGACTAAATCCAGGTTTCCTAAAATGACAGAAGCAGGCTTTCTCCAAGCGCTCCCTCCACAGTCAGTGTGGTCTGGGTATTTCAGGCCCTGAGAACGCACCTTCTCGTGATAAGAATGGCCCTCCTTGCCAGGCCAAAGACCAAAGCCGCTGGGTCTGCAGGGAGGTAGGGTTTAAAACGCAAGCACCTCAGGGAGTCCTTGCCGCACTCCCTATACAAGCTCCTGGAATGCAGGGTTTCATCTGCTTTGTCCTATTTCCCACCTAGAACAGTGCCTGATACACAGCTGGCGCTTAATAAACGCACGTTGGGAGAATAGACGCCGCTGAAAGAAATCATTACGAGAGTATAGCTGATCAGCAGCAGACCTGCGCTGTGTGGTGATGACGTAGGAAAGGTCACTGCTGGGAGCTGGAGCAAGGAACACAGAGGACGCGGCCTGGAGGGTGATGTCAGCCGTGAGCCCTGGCTGCTGCCTTCAGTCTGTGGACTGGGAGCCCTCTTGAGGCCCAGCAGGCAGGAACCATGTCCCACTGCTGACTCAGCCATTTCCAAGCCCGCCCTGTCGCCTCTCCTTCCTGAGCACCACTCTTCCCTTCTGCACTCAGGGGCTTTGCTTCGGGACTGTGCTCAGCTTTGCCATTGGGCTGAGGAATTTCACAGGGCGGTGAAGCCTGATCCTGCTGTGTTTTTGGCACAGGTGGCCTACCCGGACGCCAGCCCCCTCCTGGTCCTCTCGGAAGCCTCCCTGGCAGATCTGAATACCAGGCTGGAGAAGAAAGTGAAGATGGACAATTTCAGGCCAAATATCGTGGTGACGGGCTGTGATGCTTTTGAGGAGGTAGGTGGCTCACCGTGTTTGTGTGTTGTGCTCAGATGTGCTGTTCGAGACACTAACGGAACTGTCTCCTTTAGCCGGCACCAGCTCAGACCCTCCAGGTTGGCAGTGGGGGAGACTGTCCTTCCCCAAGGGTCACCTTAACCCTGTGGAGTTGTTTAGTTGCTGCACCATCACCTCGCTGGCCTCAGGGGGGCGCTGCTCACCCTTTAATGCTGGGACCCAAAGCAAGCAATCGAACCCCCAACTGTAGTGAGTCTGGAACTGGGCCGGAACGTGTAATCATAGTTCAGAGATCACTAAAGGGAAATGAAGATGAAACAGCCATCTCTCCCTTTTCTGTACCACCCAGGAATGCTCACAGATTTGAGACTCCTGGAAGCCCCAGACCCTAAAATGGAGACCAAGCAGGGATACAGGAGATGCGCCTGTGAACGGGGCCCTGGAGACATTCTATGCTGTGGCCTGAGTTCTCTCCCAGAGCACCCACAGGCTCTCCTATGTGGCTGACTCCAGAAATTTCCACCCTCTGCAGACAGAGTCCTTTGTAGCTCTGAAGGGACAGCCACATCCGAACCAGTTGTAACCTGAGATCTGTGCATGGAATACGTATAGCTGGTGTTGCTTTATAATAAGAAACATCAGCAATCATATGAAACCTGAGGGTGGGCTAAATTTTATGAGCACTGGAAGTAACAACAACAAATTGCGTTTATTGGGTGTCAGCTGGATGCCAGGCACTGAGCTGATGAATCACTTCATACAAGTTATTTTATTTGATCCTTAAGACAATCCTGTGAAGTCTGTATTATTTTCTTCTTTTTATAAGGAAACTGAAGCCTGGGGTGTTACGCAACTTGTTAGGTGTGTAAGTGGTGGCTCTCGCATTAGAACCCAAGACTCGTAACTCCACCGTCTGAGGTGTTAAGGTGCTGGTTCAGATTTAGAGATCTCAAGTCATACGTCTGAGAGGAGAGGCTCTTGAACACCTTCTCAATTCTTTGCTCCCCTGGGTGCCCACATGTCCTTTTGTGTGAGTAAAATGTGCCCCTTTTTGCTGGTAAACATTGTCCTTTAGGATAAGCCTTTGCACAGAGCCCAGTATAAATCCTTGCACATGTAGGTACCTCATATTATTTAATAGTTAAAAAAATAGCAGTGTATACAGAAGTTGTCTACTTGTTGATGTTATCCTGTCATTTCTTATTTATTTTCTTTAATTCCTCTTTCCATTTGTTAACAATGTTTTTTTTGTTTTTTTGTTTTTTTCTTAAAGATTGGCACCTGGGCTAACAACTGTTGCCAATCTTTTTTTTTTTAAGGATTGGCACCTGGGCTAACAACTGATGCGAATCTTTTTTCTTTCTTTTTTTCTGCTTTATCTCCCCAAACCCCCCCCCCGTACACAGTTGTATATCTTAGTTGCAGGTCCTTCTAGTTGTGGGATGTGGGACGCCGCCTCAACGTAGCCTGATGAGCGGTGCCATGTCCGCGCCCAGGATCCGAACCCTGGGCCACCGCAGCAGAGCGTGTGAACTTAACCACTCAGCCACGGAGCCAGCCCCAACAATGTTTTTTTTATAATTGATCATCTATTATGGGCCAGGCACTGTGTCCAAGAGCCATGGACACAGAGATGAAAAGAGACGGACCCTGCCCTTCCAAGTTTCTGATATGAGAGGAATGGTCATGAGACAGTGACAGCCCAGCATGAAAAGTCCTTTAATGGACATGCTTAGCAGGTGCCATGGATGCTTTGAAGTAGAAGTGCCTAAATCTGCCTGGAGATGGGAGGTGCTGTGGGGGGTCGGGGGGACCAGATCACGCTACCCAGAAGCCACTCTGTTTCTGTGTGTAGGGGTGTGTGTGCAGTGTGTGCTGGCGAGGGTGAATAAGGGTCATTCTGGGTAAAGGAGGCAGCCGTTTGGAAGGCCCAGAAGCATGAGAGGCCCTGACATGAAGGGGTGCGCAGGAGTATTTCAAAATCACAGGGGCACTGGGGGAGAAGTGGCAGGAAGAGGCTGGACCCCGAGCTGGCTGGAGGCCACCATGCCAAGGAGTTTGGATTTCGTGTTGTGGATATTGCAGAGCTGGTAATGATTTTGAACAAGGAAATAATTATGATTTGCATTCATCCAACAAATATTACTGAAAGAAAGCAATGAAAACAGAATTAGATGCAGGGCTTCAAAGGGCCTCAGGCTCAAGTCTTGTTAGCTTCCCAGTAAACCCACCTATTTCTTCCCTGCTCCACTTTCCCGTACTTTCTAGTAGAGTGCACCTAAGTCTGAAGTCACTGGATGCTTGTTAAACACCGAATTAGTGCTCGGTATTAATAAGGCATGTGATTATAGATTGTAGTAGAAATTCGTCCATGAAGCAAAAATCCTTCCACAAGAATCCTGTAACTGGTCCATTATTTTCTGAGAAACTTTCTTTTTGGGAATAAAATTTTTCTTGGTTTGTCCCACTGAAGATACTGATTTTACTTTAAGATTTTGAGCTGGAGGAATAAGAGAAAAGATACTCTCAGTCTTGGCTACAGAATTTTGCTCTCCTAGGACTTGTCAAACTGAACCAAAGGCTAATGTAAGCCTAATCGTATTCTCTTAGGCAATTTAAGTGGGTGGAGTCTTTTTTTTGATAAAACTATGTGCAGTGACCTCATGCTGCCAAGTCCATTTGTGGTTTTATTCCTGCATGGTGATGGGCTTACAGAAATAGTAAGGTGGAACACTCTGATTTTTCTAGAAGAGTCCTCTGGTTATGCATATTAAAAAAAATCCTTACAACAAAATGATACTAATATTGCTGATTTATTCTCCCTGAAATTAGGAAGCCCAGTAGTTAAGGGCCTGATGCATTAGCTTCACTACCTGGCACCGTGACACAATTATAACCCTTTCAGTTAGTGGGACTCTGTTAAATATTAATGTAAAATGATAACGCACGTCAATATTTAATAGACCAACTAATAATAAAGAAAAATAGTAAATCTAAGCATGGTGCAAAAGTTTAGGCCATTATTTATTGCAAAAATATAGGGCAATAGGAGAATGCATTGTGCAACATTTGCTCTTTGTGGCCCAAAGTACTTTGTACTTTTTCCATTTAACAGAATATTAAGCACATTTTCAAGGGCGGGTTCTCTCGGGCCAGTGTGCTGTGTTTGAGTTCTGGGAATGCAGAGCAATAGAGTTTGAAAATAATGAAGTTGACCAATACTTCTTATCTCTGTAGCTGACCATTGCCGGGGGTGTGTTTCCCGAACTTTGCTCGCTGTCCTCGTGGGCAGGACTTGACATTTTTTTTGGAATGTCTTGTTTGTATCATTCCTCACTGCACATTTTGAAAGGACTGTGGAGAAGCTCGCAGAAAACTCTTGACATGTTGTTACCTGTCACTCAGGAAGTGCTTCTCCAAGAAGCTTCTAGAGAGGCGGTGGATTTTGAAGCCAGACAGCTGAGGTTTGAATTCCAGCCCCACGGCTCCCTGGCTGTGTGAAATGGGTCCTTCCAGGACTTTGCAGCTGGTCAAAAACAGAATTTTTGCAAATCCTCATTACCAGATTTTTCAGTCCCCAAAACCTGAGTTGAGACGAGTTAGGATTTTATTTGGATGCTTATGTTTATTCGCCTGGCTTCAGGCATCTCTGAGGTAGCAATGATAATAATAGCAATGTATAAAACAGTAGCAAAAATAACAATAACAACCATGGCTCCCAATTATCAGATGCTTACAGTGTGGCAGGCTCTGGGCCAGCTCCCTTATGTGCATTGTCTCATTTAATCCTACTTCCCCTTTCCAGACTACAGGTCACAACCCATTATTGGGCTGTAATATGAGCTGGGCCCTGACCAGAATTAAAAAAAAAAAAAAAAGACTGGAATAGAATAAAAGATATCAGAGTAGGCTACATGTAGAAAGATTAAGAATTGTTTTGTGAAACTTTTGTTTAAGTTTTATCTGGGATGTGTGTGTGTGAGACAGCTTTAGGAAACAAGATAATATGTAGTTTTTTTAAAGGACTATATTTTTAGAGCACTTTTAGCTTTATAATAAAATTGGAGAGGCAGGTACAGAGATTTCCCATACACCCCTGCCCCCACACGTACAAAGTCTCCCTCATTAGTAACACCACTCACCAGAATGGCACAATTTTTACCAAGGATGAACTCACATTGACACATGACAATCAGCCATTGTCCATAGTTTACATTATGGTTTGCTCTTGGTGTTGTGCATTCTATAGGTTGGGACAAATGTATAATGATGTATATACCATTTTAATATCATACAGAATTTTTTTTTTTTTTTTTTTGAGGAAGATTAGCCCTGAGCTAACATCCGCTGCCAATCCTCCTCTTTTTGCTGAGGAAGACTGGCCCTGAGCTAACATCCGTGCCCATCTTCCTCTACTTTATATGTGGAACGCCTACCACAGCATGGCTTGCCAAGTGGTGCCATGTCCGCACCCCGGATCCGAACTGGCAAACCCGGGGCCGCCAAAGTGGAACGTGCGCGTTTAACCGCTGTGCCACTGGCCCAGCCCCCATACAGAGTATTTTTACTGCCCTACAAATCCTCTGTGTTCCAGCCATTCATCTCTGCCCACCCTCACCCCCCCCCCCCGACAACCACTGATCTTTTTATTGTCTCCATAGTTTCGCCTCTTCGAGAATGTCATATATTTGGAATCCTACAGTATGTAGACTTCTCAGATTAGCTTCTTTCAGTTAGTAATATGCATTTGAGATTCCTCCATAGCCTTTTCATGGCTTAACTGCTCATTTACTTTTAGCGCTGAATAATATTCCATTATCTGGATGTGCCACAATTCATTTACCCATTCACTTCCTGAAGGACATCTTGGTTGCTTCCAAGTTTTGGCAATAGATTATAAAATGTAATTTTTTTCTTCGTTCATGATGGAAAATGTTTAATAGCTACTGAGGCGAGTAGTGTTTTCACTTCTCTTTTCCGGATGTGGAAACTGAGACTCA